CTGTAACCTGTTGTTAATATATCTTTCTTACATCTAATCCGTGTTCCGTGTTTTACTTTTGTGGTCCCAACTTTGGCCCCACATCAATATCGTTCCACTGTCCTTGAATAGGGATATATCTTTTTCTCTTTCTAGTACTGCTCAATTATTTCTAGCCGTGTTACCAAATTGACAAACAAATTCTTTAATATACTATTTATGGCACATTAGCCTAGTGAATTTAAAATCTCGGTAGCCTAGAAGTATTCTCTAAGAGACTATCATACGAGTTCGGTAAATCATTAGTGTCGTTGGGGCATAACATTTACTGCATCCATAGAAGCGGGTGTGGCAAGAGCAAGTTAGCTTGACGGGACCATTCCTCTTCAGACTAGTTTTGCATACAGATTTTTCTCTAAACTGGTTCCATGTAAAATTAGAGATCCCAGTTTACTCTGTTATTAACCCCTAGCTGGAGGATAAATATTCATAGCTTCCCAAAGTTATTTGTACGAAAAACGAACACAACGACCTCAGCCTGAATTTGAATTCGGCCCACAAATCGCAATCCTTTTGCCAATAACCACTACGCTCAGATAGATCTTTTAACATAATTTTATAATTAATAAACATAAATTTATAATATATTTAACAAAAGTTACGCGCAACTAAAAAGATTCTATGTAAATGTAATACAGAGAAGTAAATTCACCAGGTTCCATATACTACAAAAAGTAAACATCACTTGTTTTTATACAAGCATCAGTTTGGTTAGGGCTCTGTAGGTGATCGTCACTTTTTGCGTTGCAAACTGATTTTTTCTGGTCTATTATCTTATTTTCGTTAGAAACATTCGGCTTTTATCAAGAAAGGTTAAAGAGAAGCTTTCATATTTAAAAAAGTCTATTACTTCAACAAAGAGGCAAAATAAAAAAAACAAATAACCATATTAAATTAAAACACATAAATATAGATATAAAATATTCTATTTTTCAAAGGAATTTAATATATGGAAAACTAGTACAAAAATAAAATTCGCGATTATCTTTGCAGTCACTCGTATCTCTTAAAGTTCAAACTGAATCTAGCGTTCATTTCATGTTTATAACTAACATTTCTATGGTTTAAATTATGCACAGATTTTTACTGACATTTCTATTCAGGGTGTAAGTGATCATGGCTATCTATAGTTTCCAGTTTACTCTGTTATTTAACTCATAGCTTGGTTGGAAAGGAAACTAGTGTTAAGAGAAAAACGCAATACATTAAACCAGAATTTGAACTCGGCTGGCCGATTCTCTACTTTACGATTTATGCTTCTGCTTCATTATGCTACCTTCACATTCTCTGCACACAAAAAGATGCAAAAAACGTGCACATAAATAAGTAAGCAATAATTATATGCATATATATATATATATAGATATAGATATAGATATATAGATATATATATTCATGCATGCATACAGGTTATCTATTCGTATCCGAGCTTGATCATTACTCAAATTAAAAGGGAAACACATTCTCGTATATTTCACTGTCGCAGATGGCGTATAAAGCAACTCTTTAATCCAGCCAGTGATCTGCACACCACTACACAAGTAGGACATTGAATTCCTCATTCTGATAACTTTTCATCTGGGTGAGGTGTTTTAAACTGTTGCTTCAGTCTATTTGGCGAACAATACACATTCTTTCACAAGGAAATGAAGTGACCAACATTCCAAACCACCGACGTACACGTTTGCGGTTATTTTCAGTATCTTACGAGTTCCAGTTTAGGAATTTGATTATAGTGGATCAAGCGTGGATGTACGGATGCTTTAATGGGTAACGATTTGTAATAAGAAATCAGACAGCCGTGATCGAATTCTAGTTGGGTTCGTTATATTCGCTTCCACGCAAAGGGGAAAGGTATGAATACTTACTCTCCTCAGCTATGGGTTTACAAGGGTTGATAAACCGTAAAACAAATGAATCACTAATGGATGAAATGTCGATGGAACAATATACAATAAAAGAAGATGGTAGTAGTAGGAGGTGTATAATTTTTACAATGAGCCTTCAAATTACATGAGAACATCTTATATAATGTTCTTTTCTCATACACCATAATATCAAATGCACTTTTTGATTATTTCTATGAAATATATAGAACGGAATGTAAAATATTGGAAGGTGAGTGTCATGCAGAATTCTGTTTCGCCTTAATTTCCAGTCGCGTACCTTACATTCTGTTACGCACAAACACATGAATAGTAAGATTTGTTGCCAAAAAATCATTATTATTCTAAAACTAAATAAAGAATAAAATTATTCTTACAATTCAAAATATGTCTCGATTTTAAATAACCCTCAAATGGTTGATAAGCAGTAAAAATACAAATAAAATGACACTAGTTTCGAAGTCTTTGGTAAACAGTGGTTCATCTTTTACAAACATGGGATCTGCCAAACTTCTGAATAGTTCCGATTATTCCCATCACTCATGATATGACGGAAATATGGTGTGTGAAAATTTCTCTTCGCCATCATAGAACCAAAAGTGCTTCGCATGACAGTCAAACTCTCAGGTACAACAGATATCCTTCTCTATAATGATTCCATAGACCATTCACGGCCAATAATGACAGCTCAAGAAGGTGCGCTGCTCAGCATTCTAAAACGCTAATGTGTATCAACGATATCCAGTAAGTGAATTTGTATCGACAAGTCGGGGTACCAGTAAAATAGGATTTAAACCAAATAAGGCTTTCATATCGATCGTTTTTAAGAAGTGATTCATAGTGAACAGCAAAGCACGGTAATACTACAACATTCGATCACCGAAGTTAAGCAATATTGGACCTGATCATTAACTAGATGGGTGACCGCTCGGTTGTAAGCTTGGATGTGCGGATGGTGTAATGGTTAAAGGCTTGGAATGAGAAATCGGAGAGCCGAGTTCGAATTCAGGTCAGGTTCGTTATATTTACTTACATGCAAATACCCTAGAATTAAATAGTATGAAAATTATTATTACCTCCAAAAAATTATTTCAATGCAAAAATTTGTTTCGAATTTAACAAAAAAAATAAAATCTTAAATTTGCATTCAGCCCAATATTGTTGTTGAATTTAACCTGGACAGATACGATTATTTCTTAGAAAATTATTACGCAGTTCCTATAATATTATTGTAATTACTTTTGGAATCAATATCATTGTTACAATAATCTACTACATTTATCTTCATGTTTCTCAATTTCCATAGCTCAGTTATTATCACTATTATTATTATTAAGTGAGAAAATAACACGCCAATAAAATGACGCTAGAGTATAAATATGCGGAATTCAGTGCACTTATTATGACACCCAGTCTGAGAAGTGTGTACCAACTACATGCCTCACAGCCAACTGTGCACGATATTATGAAAAGTTTTGAAAAAAAAATTAAGGTATTTCTCACCCAGTCCGCTGAGAGGGTCTCCGATTGAGAGTATTGGCAAGTATCTTCGCCTTGGTCGCCTCATCTTTCAAACCCTTCCGACATCCAGTCATGATGAAGATCCTCTGCTCCTGCTACTGAATAAGTGCAAACTGAGGGTCGTATCCAATTTGTTATGGTCAGGTAACTGACAAGGAAATCGGTAGTATTCAACGGGATATTTAGTGTCGTCTGTGTTAATTTATGACAAACATGTACATGTTAATACATCAAATAAATTATGATCAAAAAACATGAGAGCCATGTCTGGGGAAGTATCAGAGCATTTCTTCTTTTTCTGCTTCTTCTTCTTTTTCTTCTTCTTCTTATTTATATTTTCATTATTATTTATTATTATTATTATTAGTAATAGTAGTAGTAGTACTTTTACTATTAAAATTATTAATTCTAAATAGTTGATAATCAGAATTTCGAGATGTTATTACTTTTAATCAATACTTGCTCATTGCTGGTAAGTGGTGCTTGCCTTGCCCTTTCAACGGAGATTTTTTATCAGAGTCCCACAACAAATCTAAACGTTTACCAAAATTAACACAGTTCAACAAATATCAATTTTTAACTAATAATGCAATAGGGAAGGAGAACCATTCAGTGGTTTTAACCACACATTAGAATATTCAGTTCGTTAATTTATTTTTATTCTAGTCTTCTGATTTATATTATCCTTTTAGCTCATTTAACTGTTGTAATTTCCATGTTTTATGGGAATCGTCTGATGAGAAAGCTTCCAAAAAATCTTAGTTGTCTCTGTGCATTCTATATCTAAATTATTTTTGTCTCTGGAAATCTTGCACACCAAATCATTATATGACCATTTAACCCGTTCCATGTCTTTGTAATTATTAAATGAATCAGTATAAAAAAAAAAGCTCAAGTTTTCCTCAACTATATTTTGATTAAAAGCAACACATTTACTCTAAATTACTCTGAGTTAATATTTTTCACTTTTTCATCTGCCTGTATGTTTGTTTCTTCTCCCTTGTATGCAAGTTTATATGCTTGTTTGAATATTGAAATGGAATATTTCGTTGACAAAAATAGATTCATTGTTTTAATGATGATGTTAATAAACATTGAAATGTACAGTATTTACATTAGTCGGACTATTGTCCTCATCTTTGTCGCCATATTTGTCACAACGTTTCGGCCGTTGTACGCTCCGGCCTTCTTCAGGTGGTTGGAATTTCGAACTGAACCCTTTATTTCGATCGCTGGGGTAGACTGTTCTAATTCCACGTGCCATGTTTGATGGATGTCAGTTATCAGTTATCTCCTGCTAATTTTCCCTCTGAAAGTTCTCTACTGCCTTAACCAGGAATTGAACTCACCTTCTTTGGGTCTGTCACTGGATCTAACCAACGCCTTTATCCACTGTGCCATGTGTCCTTGAGGACATCTGGGTATGAACTTCTGAATATAGACAAACATTGAAATATTTGTAGAAATCAACTATATAATTTTCTTTTAAATATCGCATTTTATTTAATTTTAAATGAGCTTTGCGTATGTTTAGATTTAACTTCTCACTCACATATGTCTCTCTCTCTCTCTCTCTCTCTCTCTCTCTCTTTCTTTACATTTTTAATGTAAGATCAATGAATTGAAGGCCACGTGACTCGAGACTGTAGTAGCTTGTAGATTCTGTTGTACGCATTCATCAAAGAGAAAGAAATTTCTTACATTTCTATGTAATATATTCTAGATAATTCTAGTTTTGTTGCTAATTTCCAATTGTTTTCAATAACCTTGCAAAGCCTATACATATTATTATAAATAATAAAAATACACATCATAATTCTGCAATTCCGGGTTGGGAGCCACAGGATAAGATAAATTAAATCTTTAAACATCTGCTTGAGACGGAACTATAACTATATTAACCTTTTGTAACTTGAAATGGCATTAAGGTTGACGTAACCTTTCCCACAGAGATTTGTTTTTCCATTTCTAGTATATAATAGGAAATGACCTTTAAAATTTGAATCCCACCGATGACAGGTATTTGAACTTTGTATAGAGATTCCATAAGAAAAATCAAGCTATAGAAAAATAAACGAACTGAATAGAATTGTTTTAAAATTAAGTTCGATGTATTTGTTTCTATTAAATTTTAGTATTTAGAAACGAATGTTAGTATTGGTTTAAATAAAGAGAATAGTTTCTGTCACAAGGCTGTACTCATCTGACTATAATACGATAATTTAGCAAATTTTGTGAAAGAATGCCATCAACAAATTTCTCCATAGGACCGGATTCGTGTAATGATTGAATATGTTAACACTATCTTCCTGGCACCGGGTTTGGTTAAAAAGAAAAAGAAAATAAATTAAGAAAAATAAATACACAACAACAACATCATCATCATCATTATCATCATCAACAACAACAACAACAACAATAATATTAATAATAATAATTCTATGTTTGTTTATTTTTTATTTTGAAAGGGATTTCAGATCCTATTGGTTTAAATACCCAAATTTCTAACTTCCATCACTGCCTGTTTTATCACAATTGGGTAGAACAAACTCTCCCACAACTCAAGTCATTGGGGAGTTTACGGCTAATGAATAATTTCTTGCAACGATATGCGAAGAAATTAGATACTGTCTACAATGTTTTCCGTCATTGTTCTATTTGCGTTGTGTCCCTTCGATCATGGCTCACAACTTTCTATCCTCTGTAGCTCTAAGCAGTGTTTGTCCCTTACCATCCCTCCCAGCCTCTATTCTGTCATTCTTTTAAACAAGCGCTTTAAGTCACTTCCTGTGAGTGACATATTTTCCAAGCCCTTTTTCCTCATTGTGCCCCAGAAATGACAAGTGTCTTTTTTTTATTCTGGGCGTCATTTTTCTTTCCATTTTACTTGAAAGCTTCCTTGTTGCTTACATGCTTAGTCTATAGTGTTCTCAATACCCTTCCGTGGAGTCACATATCTGTTGCTTCAAGTCTCCTTTTCATCCATGAGGAAATTTTCCATCATTCATTGCCATTGATTCTGCATAACTCTGCATAATTGCACTGAATGTAATTTTGAGAAATCGAAATGGAAGATTTACAAAAAAAACAGCAAAAGTTAGCCCATCGATAAAAAAAATAGTTTGACGAACCCCCTACTAAGAACAAAGCACATAACCTACGAGCTTATTTTCCACTTTGCCATTGAGTGACACACACACACACACACACACTATATATATATATATATATATATATATATATATATATATATATATATATATATATATATATATATATGTACGTATGTATGTATGTATGTATTTAAAAAGGTTTTTTGTAAATTGACCGACTAATTCTGATGAATTTTTGCTTCATTTTTCTAGAGATTTAGGCACATCGATGTAGCCGCATAGACTGTTAAAGGGTGGATGAACGTTCTTGTAGCATAAACGGCAATCAAACAAAATGGATTAGACTAGACTCCATAGCTATGTATCCAGCTGACGTGGTTGCTGACGCGGTTGCTGACGCGGTATCGATGGGCGAAGGATTTCCTCTCCTGAAGTCAAAAGTCTGGGTGAAGGGTTTTCCCGAAGGAATCAACTGACAAGTTTCCGAGACCAAAGCGAACCTTTAAGTTTGTGGACATTGGATTTGGTGTGGCCTGGAGAAAGATGGACTCTAAAAGGTTTACTTGCTCAACAACACGCTACGCGCAAATAAATACTTTTCCAGCTTTCAAGAAAGATATGTGGAAGGAATTATCTAGGTACTCAGAGGCGTAGTGACCCTACAACCACACCCGGTCATGGGACTGATGATTATATTGTATACATGTAATATCATATCTAGGAATTTTTAAATTTTCTGCTAGAGATCACAAATCTTGACAACGACTGAGGACAAAGTTATAATGAAATATTTTTAAACAGATTTTAAAACGCCGTCCCCTGTGAGGAAAAACCACTAAACTAATTGAGTTTTTTTCCAGGTTTTCAGATAAGACGTTTAGCCATCTGGTTATCATTTATCGTAAGAATCACTGAAAAACCCTTTGAGTTATTCAGCTAGAAAGGGGACAGATTAAAACCGTTTTGTGTCAGTCCCACTGTCTTGTCAACTGAGCAATGATGAGAGGAAAAATCATTCAGGCCTTCAGTAATGGTACCAACATTCATACACTGACTTCCATCTTCAAAGTCCATTAACGAACCACTAAGATAAATGTGAATAAGTTTAAAAAGAGGAAACAGTAGAGAGGAAAACTGGATTAGGGGGTCACAAAAGGAAGATGGATCATCATTTTAATTTAGAGATAAAGAGATCAATTAGAAAAGATCCAACTCAATTCATAAGGAGTTTGGCAAGTGAGAGAGGAAAACTCACTGTGATCGTTCTGATAAGAAAAGAACTCCCAGATTTGTTGGTGAGGGCCTCATGCTCAACACAGAGGCCTACATCAAGTGCCATGAAGAGGTAGTGCTGCCCTGGGTCATGAAGGAGGCTGCATGAAGACCGTATGTCTGTCAACGGGACTCTGCATCATGCCACACAAATACGAAAACCTAGTAATGGCTGTCAGACAATTTCTGCAACCACATCACCCCTTAAATTTGGCCACCTAAATCCCCAGACTGCAACCTGTTTTCTTATTATGAGTGGGAAACAGTTGAGCGAGAGACCAACAAAAGTCCTTGTAACGCCATAGATGAACTGAAGTCAAGGATTATGGCAGCATTCATCAACTGAAACAAGAAGACCGTCCAAAAGAGATTCCGAAGTCGTATGGAGGCCGTGGTTGAAGCCAATGATGATTTTACTGAATAAATTTATTCTTTAATATTTCAAGATATTTTTGCGTTATTTTGGTAAATATATCTGTTAAAATGAGTGTCATTTTCCTTTTTTCCTTTTTGACGTAATTTATCAACGACCCAATTTATCAATGTGTGTGTGTGTGTGTGTGTGTGTGTGTGTGTGTGTGTGTGTGTATATATATATATATATATATGTGTGATTTGTTTCGAATTCTTTCACTGCTTGCATTTTTCTGTAATTGTTTCCTTTCTTATTTTCTTCCTTCTCTTTTTTTACGTCTTTTTTCTTCCATATTTCTTGTTCCTCCGTTCTTTTCCTTCCTTCTTTTGTCAGTGAATATCAGTGGGTACAATTTGTTCTTCCTGGAAGATTTCAATGGAAAAACGCTGTTCCTCACACACATGTCAGAAGCCATTTTTCTCCGATAGCCGCTTCGTTGCTATCTGTAACAAGACAAAAATATGGATTACAGTAGGGAAGTACCGACATTCACTTTTCATGTCGTGGTCCAACACGATAAAATATCACCTATTATACTTTATATAATTAACATAGCAAGAAATAAAAGTAAAAATGTGATATTCTAGCTAAGGAAGGACGTTACTGAAAGAGTGAAAGCAACAAAGCCAACTAGAATTTAGACTCAACTTGTCAGTTTCATTTTCCACGATGATATGTTACATTAACCCCCATTATTATTATTATTATTATTATTATTATTATTATATTTTCTTTGATTTCTGGCGTTTACACATTTCTTTCCGGGTCCCGCCCAGGGACCTAAGGTTAGAGATGGCATCATGACACTTTCCACTGAGAAAAAAAAAAGTTACATATATAAAGCCCTTCGTAAAGTGTGGGCTGTACTTGTCAGAACAATTTTTTGTATCTCCTTGAGGCATGGATTTCCAGGAATCCCTCCAATTAGTCTACTTTATTATTATTATTATTATTATTATTATTATTATTATTATTATTATTATTATTATTATTATTATCTCAATTATCTTATTATTATCTGCTTTTACTATCCGCGATTCTTTTTCATTCAACTTTTACTTTCATTCTTTCTTTCTTGTTCTAAATATTTATCTCAATTTTTCCTCTCTTTGTGTTCCTATTTTCTATCCTCAAATTCTTTTTCTATGCTTTTTCCTTATTCTCCTGGTTGAAAAGAGAAAAGTTTTTATTTGATAAACAAAAAAAGCGACACGAACTATAAACAATGATTATCAAACTGGTAATGAAGTAATAAAATAATTTCCAAATCTTTTTTTGCCATTCAATTCATATTAAGTGCTAATTTCTTATTGCAACTTAGTAGAAATCCGCGAAAATGTCGTCATACACGAGTTTTTGAAGCAGAGATGTCAATAAGTTCCTCCATGTGGAACAAATTGCACCGTTTAATATTCACTCCCGTTTGCAGAACGTTTAAGGTGCCAAAACAGTGGATGTGAACACAGTTTAGTAGGGTTTAATGTGTTACAGAAGTAGCGAGGTCAATATCTTTGACAAACCTTGTTCTGGGCAGGACATACATACCCCCTAGTTTGTCGATGTTGATAATGCATAACAAATGAAAATGGTTTTCGCTGAAAACTTACTATACCCACCGATATTATCACCATCCCTGTATTTGTTATAGTTTTCCATGGACATCAATAAGAGGCATTACTTTCAGAGAATCGCCCGTGTGTGTGTATGTGCGTGTGAGCACGTGCGTATGTGCCTATGTGTTTGAAAAACTCAAAGCGTTTTCTTTTTAATAGGCCTTCCGAGATCAATGTCTTTTTGAAGAATTATA